TCTAATGAACCGAGGGATGAATAATCGTAATCTATATTAAATACTATATAGTAAGTATATAGCTCATCAGCTATATAGTATTTAGTAAAGATTACAATTATTCATTGAACTGAACTGATGAAACTCTTCAGTTTGTTTGGTTAAACGCGCTCGAATAATTCGAATTGAAAAATTCTTTTGGTGTTGTATATGCCGATATTATATATATAGGAAGGCCATAGGCTATTAAACATCACTACGACCTATAGGAGCCGAACATATCAATGAAAAGTGGTGCAAAAACGGAGAAAATTTATTCATTTTGATAGACGCAAACGAAGGTAGGTACACAATGTCGCTACCTAAGTGTATGGAAGCCGTTATGTTGTGTCTGAGCGTCTCAAATCAGACAACTTGCTCGTCTAAACTTTGGCACTTATGTGATATTATAACGTGTGCACCTTTCTAAGTAAAAATTATAGAATGTACTAATTACTAAACCCTATATTTTTGCTCTAAAATGGCAGTAATAAGAGGAGCTTAAGTTAAAAGGAATATGAATTATTGTAGCTGACGACATGGGCCCTCAATCCACACCTTTTTGAAGTGGCATAAGTTAATGGTAAATCTCAGACCGAGGTACCGCTTCTGTATCAGTATCTACCTGTGAAGTTGGATATTTGTATGAATATTAAAAAATTTTGGTTGTAAAAATCTGCTGGACGGGAGGGGACGAAATCAGTGAAAAAGTTTTGTTCTACTTCTCGGGTGTTGAATTATTTCCCCACTTAAAAAATTGTCTACATTTTGAAAAAAAATAGAAATCTGTTTTGGCTAGGTTCGGTGAGTACGGTGGGTAATGCTTACGACCGCTTTAGGCGTGCTTACAAAGTAGACCCTGCCTTCCAAACTAGGTATTCCTGTAACTTGGAAGACAGTGTTCCGCTGATGGCTCGTTCACGGTATTCCAGTATAGTGTGACTGTATGTGTGTAGAAGGATCACAATGATATAGACTTAGTTGTGTTTGTATTGTGTGAGTAAGCAATGCTTTGGTCTGCCGTGGTAGTCCTGTTCTAGTCACCATCCATACTATTATAAATTCGAAAGTGAATCTGTGTCTGTCTGTCTGATCATCTTCACGCTTAAACCGCTGAACTGATATAGATGAAATAAGGTATAGAGATAGTTTGAGTATCGGGAAAGGACATGGGATAGTTTTATCCCAGAAATCAGTGCTTTTTAAGCAAACCTTTAATTAAAACCATATTAACTTATCATATAATCAATAAGAAGTTACAACCTACACTCGCTCTTGATATATCCACCTTAAAAATATCTTTCAAACTAATACCAGAGTAAATCTGTGGCAAAATGATTAACGACTTGGGAGCATACAAATCTTCGCTAGGAGCCCTAGTTTTTAAGATATAAGTGTGGGCGACCTGGGCAGATTCGCCCTAGGTCAGCCCCACGCTTATAACTTTTGAACCACTAACCGACAAATTCTGATATTTGACAAATTAGTGTGCGTTACCCCAGCAAAATAATGTCGAAAATGGTCATTTAAACTTTATAGATAATTAGTTGCTCCCCTTCTGTAATTGTTAAGCACATTTTTAAATTTGTTTCACTTAAACTTTTTTAGTTATTTCAAAAAAACATTTCCTGCTGGGGTAACGTTTGAAACGTTACCGCAGCCAGACATTTTCTTTTTTAATTGTAATATTGAAATAAATTTTAGCTACATAATTAGTTATCTGGACTAGGTAAATGTTACAACTTATTTGGTATTTGTATTTTCTTCGGCTGCGAAGTTATTCGAAATCCTGCTGGAGTAACGTTTGTGGGTTTGCTGGATCTCTGAAACGGGTAAGCGGATTGTAACCATCTTTTGTACATAACTTCTTAAGGGTTAGTTTTAATTTGTTCGTCAATAAAATAACAAAAATAATGGACCGTTTAAAAATTATTTAGGTAAGTATGAAAACACTTCAATACGTCCTAACACTTTAAATAAGACCTCTAAAGACTTACTTCAAACGTTATTCTATTGCTTGTAACTACCTTCAAATGTATACGAATTTTCGTAAGAATACTATAAGTGACTAAAAAGTTATGATGAAATGTAGCTCTCCACGTTCACGATCACAATGTGTGCGGCCTTTTTAGGCCACCGATAAACCTGTGTGTGGATATATAAACTGAATGTTATGCCAATAATTAGTTGTTTAGTTCAGTTGTCTACCTGTAGAATTTCAGCGTAGTACATATAATAATTTACGAGATAATTAAATAAAAGTCATTAGAAGGTGCAAGTCCGTGGTAATCCGACCATGTTTAGGTGGTTACAAAAAAGCGATCACCCAGTACATTGCGCTGTCTTTTAAAATGTTTAGTGTAATACACCTTACGATTTCGGTACAGTTGCGTACAGTGTTAAATACATTCAATATTTATTAATTATTATTACCTATTATTTATTTTGTTTTTTTCCCTAATTGATCTTAAGCACTAGTTTCTTTACTTAAAATTTATTTAGTCTTTTTTACTACCGGAGCTACAATCAACAGAAAATCTGCACTGGTCCGCTAAAATTATAAATATGTAGATACATGTATGAACGATTCACCTGACTGCAATAAAACGAAAATTTAAACCAATAAGAAATCGTTTCATTTCTTTGATTTTTTTTTTGTAAAGAAATAACACTAAAGTAATTGTTTTTTATTTTGGGGTGTATAGAGCTTAGACTTGAATGCATCAAAATATTTAAAGCAACAAGTTATCTACAATAAGTTAAAATAGACCGAATAGTAGAAGAATACAGTTGTAAATTAGAATGCATCAACATTGCATCGCCCAACAGACGTATACCTCGTAAGAGTAGGTAATATTGATCTGTGGTGTATAGGTACCTAGAACCGAGAATTATCTATACCTATGTACCTACCGTTAAGCGTTGAGCCCGTTACTGTTGATTTCTGTTAAAAACGAACAGTTGTTGAATGATATTTTGATATAATAACGGTAATTTAATTTATCGAGTGAAAGTGATACATTTTTATAGATAAAATTATTGGTCAGATAATATTTGTCAATCAAGAATCGCTGATAATACATCCTTCGCTAGAACGCGGGAGGGGAGGGGCGAAGGGATACTTCATTGTTTGCAATTTGCATCTAGTGCACTAAACTTGACCCTTAGGCAGATAATATACGTGTTGTAAAGTACGTGTGCGCTTCCGCTTTCTATTTTTGCAAATATTTATCGTATTCTTGAGAGTTCTTCAATATGTGTGTACCTAATTACTAATAATAGGCATTAATGCTAATTCGATTCAATTTAAGTAATTGTCAATTCTTGTCTTAGGATATTAATTACTAATGCTAATATTGAAATTTCGTTCAGGGTGAACAAATTAAAAACGATCATAACTTTTAGGTAGGTATATCACTTATTACTAATTTTACAAAAATAATTTATTTTATTATAATTTAACTCACCGCGATTTTGTGATCAAATATTTTATTTTCTCCAACATTATTACAGAAATAATGCAATACAGAGTTTGTTCGCGATATGCTAGCCGTCGTCGATTCATTACTTAAAAAAATCCCCATCTATTCACAAAATACCTATTTACAACGCATACGTTACACTCTTCAAAACTTAAATTACCTATACCTACCCTAAAATTAAACTTCAATTAACAAATACTACGCAGGTACCAATTCTATGAACAACTATAAACAATTCACCTAAACATTACGAGAAAACAAAAGCATTCAAAACAATACCTAATCTCCCGGCTGATTACTAAGTATGCAATAAACAATCCTAAATAAAAATTATTTAAAAAACATGTACTTTTTGTAACACTTATGTACATATCCGTAGTAAACTTGCAAATAATATCCTACATATTTTAAAAGAAAGCACAATGTACTGGGTGATCGCTTTTTTGTAACCACCTAAACATGGTCGGGTTACCACGGTCTTGCACCTTCTAATGACTTTTATTTAATTATCTCGTAAATTATTATATGTACTACGCTGAAATTTTACAGGTAGACAACTGAACTAAACAACTAATTATTGGCATAACATTCAGTTTATATATCCACACACAGGTTTATCGGTGGCCAAAAAAAGGCCGCACACATTGTGATCGTGAACGTGGAGAGCTACATTTCATCATAACTTTTTAGTCACTTACAGTATTCTTACGAAAATTCGTATACATTTGAAGGTAGTTACAAGCAATAGAATAACGTTTGAAGTAAGTCTTTAGAGGTCTTATTTAAAGTGTTAGGACGTATTGAAGTGTTTTCATACTTACCTAAATAATTTTTAAACGGTCCATTATTTTGTTATTTTATTGTCGAACAAATTAAAACTAATCCTTAAGAAGTTATGTACAAAAGATGGTTACAATCCGCTTACCCGTTTCAGAGATCCAGCAAACCACAAACGTTACTCCAGCAGGATTTCGAATAACTTCGCAGCCGAAGAAAATACAAATACCAAATAAGTTGTAACATTTACCTAGTCCAGATAACTAATTATGTAGCTAAAATTTATTTCAATATTACAACTAAAAAAGAAAATGTCTGGCTGCGGTAACGTTTTAAACGTTACCCCAGCAGGAAATGTTTTTTTGAAATAACTAAAAAAGTTTAAGTGAAACAAATTTAAAAATGTGCCTAACAATTACAGAAGGGGAGCAACTAATTATCTATAAAGTTTAAATGACCATTTTCGACATTATTTTGCTGGGTAACGCACACGACAAATTAGTGATTTTGTTTTCAAAATTTAAATTCATGATGAGCCTGCCAGGGTCAGTGACACCCAGTAACTGTCAAGTTCTGATATTTGGCGAAACATTAGAGTGATTTTGGCGTGGATATATATGGCTCATATTTAAAACAGGTATCTAAAGAAAAAAGAAAATGCAAACTTGAGTTTCAATCATTTATTTTCATTTGAGATACTGATAGCTTAATACCGGAATGTATTTAATCGACCTCCTCAATGGTAGGTCCAGCGCCGCCACCGGGTGCCGCGCCTCCGGCTCCGGGAGCGCCGCCGGGGAAGCCAGGCATGCCTCCGGGCATACCTCCAGGCATACCACCCGGCATGCCTCCAGCGCCCTGATACATTTTAGTGATGATGGGGTTGCAGATACCCTCAAGTTCTTTCTGCTTGTGTTCATATTCCTCCTTGTCAGCCAGCTGGTTGGAGTCTAGCCACTTGATGGTATCGTTACACTTGTCAAGGATGGTCTGTTTGTCCGAGTCCGAGATCTTGTCCTTGAGCTTCTCGTCCTCCATGGTAGACTTCATGTTGAAGCAGTAAGATTCCAAAGCGTTCTTAGCCTGAATGGTTTCCTTCTGCTTCTCATCCTCATTCCTGTATTTTTCAGCCTCGTTGACCATACGCTCGATCTCCTCCTTTGAGAGACGGCCTTTGTCATTGGTGATGGTGATCTTATTCTCCTTGTTGGTAGACTTCTCAACGGCCGATACGTTTAAGATACCGTTTGCGTCGATGTCGAAGGTTACCTCAATCTGGGGAACGCCACGGGGCGCAGGTGGAATGCCAGTGAGTTCAAACTTTCCTAGGAGATTGTTATCTTTGGTCATGGCACGCTCACCCTCAAATACTTGGATGAGTACACCAGGTTGGTTGTCAGAATAGGTGGTAAAGGTTTGGGTTTGCTTGGTGGGGATTGTGGTGTTGCGTTTGATCAAGGTGGTCATGACACCGCCAGCGGTCTCGATACCGAGCGACAGTGGGGTTACGTCAAGTAGTAACAAGTCCTGCACTTCTTCAGACTTGTCTCCGTGCAAGATTGCAGCCTGAACAGCAGCACCATAAGCTACGGCCTCATCGGGGTTGATGGACTTGTTAAGCTCCTTTCCATTGAAGAAGTCCTGGAGGAGCTTCTGCACCTTGGGGATACGAGTGGAACCACCCACAAGTACGATGTCATGAATTTGAGATTTGTCCATCTTCGCATCACGGAGGGACTTTTCAACTGGCTCCATGGTGGACCTGAACAGATCTGCATTGAGTTCCTCAAAACGAGCCCGGGTGATGGATGTGTAGAAATCGATACCCTCAAACAGAGAGTCAATTTCAATGCTAGCTTGGGTGGAAGAAGAGAGAGTTCTCTTCGCCCTCTCACAAGCGGTGCGAAGTCGCCTGAGAGCCCTCTTGTTGGTAGCCAGATCCTTCTTGTACTTCCTCTTGAATTCCTGAACGAAGTGGTTAACCATACGGTTGTCGAAGTCCTCTCCTCCCAAGTGAGTGTCACCAGCGGTGGACTTTACTTCGAAAATACCATCTTCAATGGTCAAGATGGACACGTCGAAGGTTCCGCCGCCAAGATCGAAAATCAGGACATTACGTTCTCCACTGCCCTTCTTGTCAAGACCGTATGCAATCGCAGCAGCAGTCGGTTCATTGATGATACGGAGAACGTTCAGGCCAGAGATGGTACCCGCATCTTTTGTGGCCTGTCTTTGTGAGTCGTTGAAGTATGCTGGAACCGTAATTACTGCGTTCTGCACCGTTTTGCCGAGATAGGCCTCGGCTGTTTCCTTCATCTTTGTGAGCACCATAGAGCTGACTTCCTCAGGGAAGAAGGTTTTGTCCTCTCCCTTGTAAGCGACCTTAATCTTTGGTTTACCACCATCACTGACTACCTCGAAGGGCCAATGCTTCATGTCAGCCTGGACAGTGGCATCTTCGAATTTGCGGCCGATTAGACGTTTGGCATCTGTAACAATGAAGACGAAATTTTAGACCTAGCTCCAGCAAGAACCTATTTAAAAAATATTGTGTTTTCCTCAGAATACTTTTATCATTCACAATGTTCAGAGACTCTAGTCTAGTATATTGGGTTTCATCATGAAAGTTTCAAACCAGAAGGCTACAAATTATACACGTCATCGATAATAGGATTAAGAAAAATTGAAAGTGTAGATGGGGCACAATGATTACAATAATCGCTGCATACTCGTTTTCAATACTGCGTGTACTTATTTATTATACTCCGCGAAAACAGAACAAATACCTGAGATAATGTCGTAAATCTATACAAATAAATAAAATTGGGAGTGTCTTTTTGTAATATTAAAATAATCGCTTTTTATTTAATGCATATGTATGTTTACACGGTACATATGCCAAAATAACATTTTTTACAATTTTTGTCTGTCTGTATCTCTGTTTGTTTGTTAAGGGTAATCTCTGGAACGGCTCGACCGATTTCGACGAGACTTTCACTGGCAGATAGCTGATGACATAAGGAGTAACTTAGGCTACTTTTTTAGACTAGCTTCGCTCCGCGGCGTTGCCCGCGGTTATAACAACAAACGCGGGTCTCAGCTAGTATTTAATAAACATGAATACTGCATAAAAGTCTTAATAAAAGTTTAAAAATAGGTAGGTGAGGTTATATGAAACTGAAAGGGCCATGAATAAAACTAACAGGTCAAAACATGGTCAGACGACTTTGCCCTATGAATGTTGTGACGTCAACGTTTAAATTGTCTAACCGCACCGGTACCTTAATACAAAGCAGGAAGCTGAGTCATTGAACTTAAATAGGTAAGTCACGGATCTTACACATGTTTGTATTGTATAACATTATGGCGCCAAAAGTTATTTTCTAACCTACGCCATTTCTACTCGTACATAGGTGTTTAAAAGCAACGGTCTATACCGACGCTTTTGAACACCTATGCAGAAATGGATTCTACACGGCATGGATAAATAAAAGAATTCTTGTGTCGAAAAATAATAAGATAACGGAATACCACGTGGTTAACGTAACTGATAGGACGGATTTGATTTGAACAGAACGGTTTTAATATAATTCTTATAGCGATTCAATTTTGAATGTTGTATTAAAATTTGTAGGGCCTTTTAATATAGTTATAGCACTTTAGGACCTATCTAGGGCACGCGGTTTTATGTACACTTACCGAAAATTGTGTTGTTAGGGTTCATCGCCACCTGATTCTTGGCGGCATCACCGATGAGGCGCTCGGTGTCTGTGAAGGCGACATATGAGGGCGTGGTCCTGTTGCCCTGGTCGTTGGCGATGATCTCCACCTTACCATGTTGGAATACTCCCACACATGAGTAAGTGGTACCCAAATCAATACCTACAGCGGGTGCTTTAGCCATCTGAAACAATACAATACCACGTTATAGTTCAGCTACATATCAAATTTGTAGTAGGTATAATTTATAGTTGCACATTGCACTCTATACTTAGCGTCACGTGCCGCCATTTTGGTAAAATTTATAACTGGAGGCACGCCCACGTGGGAATAATCCTCGGTTTAAAGAGGAAATCCACCGAGTTAGAAACCGCAGACTACAATCTATTCATAGAAATTATTACTAGATACAAGAATTTTTTCATCAACGACCATTAGGTACTAGAAAAATCGATACGGTTGGGTGGCGGAACGTTCTCGAACGCCGACGATGATAATATAACTAAAAGATCAATTAAATGCTTGTGTAGTTTCGGATACAATTGAAATAAATGCACAATGTGTTCACAGCTGCAAAATTCACAAAGAGGCACGTGTTTTCAGGCAAAGAATAGGCAAATTAACTAACCTTGTAACCTTAACCTTATTGAGCGATGTATTAAAATCTCAATATTTAATTTATTAATCAACAAAGGAAATTTAGATGTAATGAAAAGATATATATATATATGTATTCATAAATCAAAATCATAAAATTATTTCCGAGGTGACACACACAACACGCATTTACTTACTAATAATTTCTTCAGTATGCAGTTATTTAATTACTAAATAATTTAAAATGCGAAATAAAATGAAAACTTGACTTACTTTGTTTAATTAATGTAAAACTATCTCAGTCGTTGACTTGTTAAGTCGTAGAGCAAAAACTCAGCAAAGGTGCGCGATTGACGGCTTCTTTTCACGAAATAAACTGGCGTTGGAATTTCACGAAGGAGTTTATATGCGAGGGGATGCGTCATCTACGTCACTCGGAGTTTCTGGAATATTCCAAGCTGTGGGCCAATCGGAAGAGCCCTCTCGTAGCACGCTATCATCTCATTGGTCAGGCCTGGAAACCGCAGTTTTTTAGGCGGGCGATATCTTGTGCACAATATTTTCAAATAGTGATGTCACCAAATCCGCAACGCGTACTTTTGTCGATAACAAACAGTTTAGCCAATAAATTAATAAAATTGCTTCGCGTTGGTAACCGCTTCTATAGAATAACGGGTAGTATCTGGGTTGTTTTTGTTGTTACGATAAGTATATTAATGTATTTTACTTCATCATCACATGACCAACCTATATCAGTCTACTGGTGAACATAGGCCTCTCCTTAGAAAGGAGGTTTTGACCTACTATTTATTTATAAAGTTAGAATAGGGTTTGTTAAAAGTTTTCCTTCTCTTTGAGGTGCTATTATGCTGCAGTGTATTATTAAAATTTATTTTATTTATTTACGTTCATATAAATTAGTTGGTCACCTTATTTTAGGTAATAGTAGGAGATTTCAAAAAAAACATTATATATTTCATAATATCAGTAATTTTAGTCGCATCCTCATCGTTATTTAATTATTAACTAAAAACTTAGACTTTGCTTTCGTTATAATCCTATTTCAATTAATACACCCAGTTTCCTTCGATTTTCGTTTGTACATTTGTCCATTTGATACGAAAGATAAAAAGGTCACTTTTGAAAAGTTATTAACTGTAGCGTTACATTTTAACGCTACATAAAAATCCTATTTTAAAATTTATGAAAATAAATTATTTTTGTTTGCTCACAAGATTTATTTTGCAGGAAATATCTATCATTTCAGTTTATGAGTAAATAAAAACGTTACCAACGGCAATTGTAATGTTTAGAATTCTTAGATAGGAAATCTAAGAATTCTCTTTACCTCTGAGTGGCCAACATTACAAATGGGCTTTAAAGGGAGGCTCAAAGACATCCCAAGAGCAATGGAGAGGGTAATGCTCAGAGTTTATTTGTGTGATCAAATCAGGAATGAGCAGATCCGCCGACGAACCAAGGTTACAGGCATCGCCTGGAGAATTATAAAACTTAAGTGGCAAAAGACAGGTCACATTGTTTGCAGAAAAGATGACTAATGGGGTTAAAGGGAAGGTCGCGGGAAGCCTACGGGCAGCACAGGACCGGTTGTTGTAGCGAACCTTGGGAGGCCTATTTCCAGCAGTGAATATCTTTTGAAATAAATAATGATGGTGATGACCTTACTAATGCAAACTTAGAATTTTGTTTTTGATTAACTAGTTAAAGTTTCAAAAAATATGACTTAAACAAACCAAACATATCGTCAAAATTTAAGGGAGTAATAGGAGAAAGTAAGCTTTGCTTTTAATTAGAAAAACGTAAAGAATATATCTTCTAAGAAAATTACTTTTTGTTAGTATTTTATTCCTTTATTACATCTGAAAGTTTTTGAAGTGAAAAATTCTTTAAGCACGTTGGGAATTCTTGAATAACAATCAAAAGAATGTATTTTTTAAGATGGGAAAAACAATTGACCTCGCGACACTCTTACCGTTACCGACACCTCTGTATATTAGTATCTACATATATTGGCCCCGTTTACACGAGAGTTGAGTTTTGGTTGAAACACATTGATAATCTAACTTTATATAATATAAACAGATATTGTTTATAGACGTACAACATAGATATATATTCATGTCAGAACTTTTTGAATCCAAAAAAAAAGCAATGTTTTTTCCTGCTATAATCAAAAATGTTTAAATTTTAAATTTTTCACTCTCGGAGTGCCACTGCTTTTTTTTATGAATGTGCTTATGTGATTTCTTAAAATTGGTAAAATACTGTCCTAATGACTCGAGAGGAGATAGAGGTTTTCGACCTGTGAGTTTAGAAATTATAAACACTTTTCGATAAAACAGTGCTTCACATCACTAAACGTAGGCACATCAAATGTTACCAACGTTAAAATATTTACTGTCTCGCTCGCTAGGCCGATAGTAGGATTCTACAAATGAATTATTTGTATTGTAGCAGGAATATTGATTAGACCAGTTAGAGAAAAAATAATTCAACTATTATAAAACAAAATGAATGTCTACTTCATATGTAGTGTTAGGGCCACGGCCAATATAAAACACATGCAACACTGACAGATATTACGAAATAAAGGATAACGTGATGACTCATGCAATTTCATATTCATGCTATACATATACAATACTGAATACATTTCTAGAAAGGACGAGTTATTGATTAGTGGCATTCGAATTGATTCGCACGTTTAATAGACAATTATAACTACCTATACCCTATAACCTAACCTAACTACCAATGCTAATGAAAGTCAACTTATTTTCTGAAATCAGTACTTGATGGCAAAAGTAAAAGTCGTACCAAACCAAGCCAAATCACTAATCGGTAACTTATGGCTTCGTTAGTGCAAATTAGAAATTTACTTTCCTTCTAACTTGCACTAGCAAATCCATGTCTTTATTATTTATTTAAAGAAAATTAGTTTGCAAAGAAGAACATAGGTACTTACTAGCGAGAGTTAATAGAACCTACAGTGAGGTTATAGGTAGGTACCTGGTACTTTGTCGTTTGCTTTTCTTTAAATCTTTAAAGCTCAAATGATGATGTACTGAATTCATTTTAACATCATAACACTTATTTTAAGGAAATTTGTCAATTTATCATCTAATTTACAAGACAAGGTACACATCAGTAAAGAAAAATTAATTGCGAGTAGGTAATTAACATAACTCAGGCTCTCCGTTGCTGACAACTGGCCCTGGCTGATTGATGTATCCATGGAAGTCCATCTTTCCTTTATCCACTATATTACGTGAAATGAAATTTAGGCAATGATAGACGTTTAAACTAGGTAAATACTAGATTCAATGAGAGATATATTAAACGCTTTTCGAATAAAAGTAAGTGAGCCTCAGTTAGGTACTTTTAATCTGATAAACTAATTTAAAGTACCTAACCTAACTTTCACTATAAACATCCATATCCATCTTATTTACATAAAAAGCATCCATTGTTAAACATAGGCCTCCCACAAAGGGGAGCGCGGTCGGATAATGGGAAGGATGTAAACGTGAACCATCGAGAAACTTCGCCTTACGCACACAAGGCCACGAGGCGGTGATTTAACGAAAAACACAATCATGTGTGTTTTTCGTTAAATTGTAATCGAAAGTAGAATATAGTATGTGCCACAGCGAAACGTGACAGGGTACAACTAGTGTAGGTACCTATATTTATCGAGAAACTGCCTGTACGACAAATATTTATCGTTTCACGTGCATGAGGCCACGAGGTGGCAATGCCATGAGTTAAGCACGATTGACAATTTAACGAAGATTACAAAACAAAGGGTTTGGTTTCGTAATCTGAGCGAAAAATGTGTGCGTGTGTATTTTTAGTTAAATTGTGATTGAAAGTAAAATTTACCTACCTAAATGTACCTATATTTATATTTTACTTTTCAAAACGGTGGTCCATTGATCTGTTATATTACGTACAAGTTTAACTCAATGTGGTAGTCAGCATGGCTCCCACTACTCAATATCTCCCATTACCGGCTACAAAATATATATTTATAACATTTTAGATACATAATTATGTCTTATATGTCCAAAAAAAGTAATCATATAATACCTACTATATAATGATTTATCGGATAACTTTGTTGTCGATATGGGACGATGTAGGCGCTCAGCGACAAAATCCCTTTTAATAATAAAAGAAAAAAAAACAGACAACCACAAAAACTTCTTGGACTTTTCATACATTTTTTTTAAAGACAATTCCAGCATTAGGACTATATCCGGTGTCGCGGGGGACTTTACAAATGTACTTGAAACGGACAAAAAGAACACCCAGACTCAGAACAACAATTTGTGAATCATACAAAGTGTCGTCTCATGTGGGGATTCTCCTAAGTATTTTAAATAGGCTCTCATCCGCATGGCATGTGCGTAATGGCAGACGAACGACTTTACAAGTCTTTTAAAATTGATATTAATAAACGACTGTAATTATTACTGTGCTTAAAATGTACTGTAATAATTAATTTCCTAATTTATTGAGTTATAATGTACTTCGCTAGTAATATTAGTTCAATGTTTTTATTATCAAAATTTTCCTTTTGTACCAAAATATTTATTTATTAACACTAAAGCAACAACAAAACCTCTACATAACTATATTTTTTGTAGAATACTATAGTAGTAAAGTACTATAGTATAGTAAGTAAGGTAGTTAAGACTTGTCGGTCTATGAGTTTGAATTTTCACCACATTACCTTATCTGTTAAAAATATTTATTAATTTAATATAACAGATAAGGTAATGTGGTGAAACTGTTATTTTTTATAGTTATGTACTCACATCAAGTAAGTACCTAATAATGTACCTTTTAACGCCAGCACCGTAGTAATGGTAATGAAAAAATATTACTAATCAATAATAATCTCACATATAACATCATATCACATACGGCAGTCTGATTCCAAAATAGGCAGAGTCTGTTCTATGGTAATCAAACTCCTGATGAACTTATATATAGGTGTAAATAAAACGAATTTTTAAAACAAACATTTCTTTATAAACAGTTTAATACAATAAAACATTCCCATATCACGTCATCAGTTTTCAATTATGAAAGTTATTCGTAACGTTTTAACTTATAATTCAATTTGTATGTCATTTATTTAATACACATTTACGGACACCGTAGCAGGTTCAAAATGCTAATCCTTTAAAAAGGGCCCTGAAAAATCGAGTGAAAAACTATACCGAAACGGTAAAATAACGGTTTAAATATTTCTTCTTAAAAATAAAAAATACACACGTATGTACAAACAAAAGAACACAACACATTAAATAAATAACCAAATTCTCAATTTAAAATTACAAGGGATAATTGTAAAATCTTTTGTTTTTTTTTTTTTGTTAGCCATTTTGTCTATACTGTCGCCATTTTTAACCGACTTCAAAAAAAGGAGGAGGTTCTCAATTCGACTGTATTTTTTTTTTTTTTTTACCGTTAATCCTTTACCGGTTAATAATAACATTTATCTTCTTGCTTACACTTGTTATAAATACTCTGTGTTATACTGTATTATGTAGAAATTTTATAGACAAATGAATGCAACGGGTTTGTTTGATGGTATGCCCAATATAGATCAGGCTGTGCAACGCAAAATAACGTCAAATAAAAAAAAATAAACTGGATGGTTTTTTAATACTTTTCTCACACTACAACCTATTGTTTGTTTTTCGATTAAAATTGTTTTTCCCTGTTTTTTTTTTCAATAAACCTGTTTTACAGATTCCCAAAGTATTTGTTTTTAAACTAATACTTTTTGGTTGAAAAAACCAGCCAGTTTATTTTTTCAATCTGAACATTCTCAGCCTGTACTGTACTGTAATTAAATTATTAATTTACACTGTATATTGCTATAAATGTATGGTGGTGATGACCGACACTACGAGGGGTGATCAATAAGTAATGATAATCAATATGAAACAGAACTATTAGATTAAAAAAAGTATTTTATTTTTCAACATAGTCTCCTTGCAAGTTAATACATTTAGTGTATCTTTTTTCTAAGCCCATGATTCCCTTAGAAAAAAATTATTTGTCTTGACCCTCCCAAAATGCCTCTACTGCGGCCATCACTTCACTATTGTCCTCAAATTTGTTGCCCCGGAGGTGTTCTTTGAGCCGAGGAAAGAGGTAGAAGTCACTGGGAGCTAGATCTGGCGAATAGGGAGGGTGTTCGAGCAGTTCGAACCCCGTTTCTTCAATGGCAGCCATCGTAACTGCGGCTTTGTGAGCCGGGGCGTTGTCTTGGTGAAACAGCACTCCAGCGCGCAGTTTACCGCGTCTTTTTGACTTAATAGCTTCTCGCAATCTTCTTATTTGGCCTGCGTAGTAAGAGCCTATTATAGTGGCCCCCTTTTCCAAATATTCCACCATAATAATTCCTTCTGCATCCCAGAAAACAGACGCCATAACCTTTCCCGCTGAACTTGACACTTTGAATTTCTTCGGCGTTGGTGAGGAAGCTCGTTTCCAAGTCATTGATTGTTGTTTGGTTTCGGGATAAAAGTGGTGGATCCAGGTCTCGTCCATGGTCACAAAACGCGACAAAAAATTTTTTTTATCGGCCTGGAACTTTTGAAGATTCACCCTCGAAATGTCGACTCGTTTCTTTTTTTGCTCGTCGGTTAAAATTCTCGGTACCCAACGCGCAGAGACCTTTTTCATATGCATTTTGTTGACAATGATTTTTTGAACGCTGCCATAGGAGATCCCTGTGACCTCAGCTACATGCCTTACGGTCACCCTTCGATCGGCCAACACGATATCTTTCACTTTTTTGACGTTTTCTCCAGTAAGGGACGTGGAAGGGCGTCCCTCGCGATGTTCATCTTCAGTGGAGGTTCTGCCCAGCTTAAATTCCTTTGCCCAGCGTGCGACTGTGGAATATGGAGGAGCAGACTCCCCCAATGTTTCATCTAAGTCGCTGTGTATGTCTTTGGTAGACATTTTTTTCAGGCAGAGGTACTTGATGACAGCTCTTATTTCATTTTTCTCCATTTTGATGTTTTCTCTTCGACAGTTCGTATTCAAATGAATGTATCTCCCGGTAATGGTGTCCTATTTATACATTTTTTTGAAGCTGAAGTAGTGGATATATAAGCAAGCAGAAAAAAAATAATTTGGGTTTTTGTGCGTTCTAGAAATACTCGATTATCATTACTTATTGATCACCCCTCGTATTATTATAATTATTAAATATTGTAGGAACAGGATATGTGGATATTAATTAAAAAAAAAGGATGTTGGTATTGACATAGTGAATCAAAATCTGCATAACAATATTGTCGTAAAGCTTACACAAAGTGTAGCTTTGGTTTGGCATCAAGTACTACAATAATATACAATATATCAAGATTTTTTTATTCGGTCTGGCCGTTTTGGAGTTCATACGAACAAACATACAAAAGCCGATTGTTATACATATAGGGTAGGGTAAGGTATTGAACTAAGAACCTCACACTGAGATTGGATTCTCACATTGTTCTTTCCTGTGATACTTTTATAGATCAGGCGTAAACATAATATTATTTATTGTCAATGTGAATTTTAATTAAATTTGTTTCACAGGAGCCTAACTTTCTTTAAATATATATATATATATAACATTCATTGAAGTGTTTACAAAAAAAAAAAAAATCATTTTACTAATAAGTAGTTTGTTCTTTGAGTATGTCTATTATAACCAGTTATCCTTTATAATCCTCATGTTATTATCAAAAATTTCTGCTTCGTCTGTCATTTTTCTGTTCTCAAAGCGAATCTTGACTAGAGCTAACACTAAATAATCTAGACACGTTAGTATCATGAGATTCTGAAGTAAGTCTGGTACGCGAGCCCCAACGATGTGGTGAGGAACCAGGCGAAGGTACACCACCAGGTCGCGAAGCCAAACACGCCTTTGTACACGTCAACTGTGAATACCTGGGGAGAAGAAAGAAAAGATTACATGTGAGCCCTTATCGCACTAACATTATGAAGCCAAAAGTTTGTGTGTGTGTTTGTATGTTTGTTACTTTCTTCACGCTCAAACGGCTGGACTAATTTTGTTGAAATTTGGTATTAATTAATAGTAATATAACTTTACACATCTTACACATATCAGTCTAATTCCAAACTCTCAAAAACAACTTCCGCATTTGTAACATATTCCTGTGTCGCGGGGACTTTACAAACATACATAAAACGGATACACAAAACATCCAGGATCAGAACAACAATTTGCCGATCACATAAACTGTTGTCCGATAGTAGTAAGCGGCGTGGTGACCGCGGGGGGAAACCAGTTTAGACCGATCAAAAAATCGACCTTTTCTTTTTGCATAAAATTCTTAGTATCTACTAAAGAACATGTGGTCAAAATTTGAAAGCAAAATTCGCATTAGTTTCAATTGTATGCTATGAACACTTACGTGACCACCTGTCGGTTCGGCAAGCCGCACCGTACATAGAACGGAGCGGTCGCTCCGGGGCCCTTTTTGGGTTACCTGCCTCTATTGAGACAGGTAACCGAAAAAGGGCCCCGCTGAACTACAGAATAATAGAGAGGATTTCGGCAGATGTTCTTGTTTGACCCGGGGTAGAACTTTCTTGAACGTTTACGATATTTCGACAGAGCGTCGAGTTTGGCTAGTTCCCTACATTTTATTTCAAACGCGTTTTTCTCGTAACGACTTTTTTTCAACTGGTGGTCATTCTAGCTCAAAAAGTTGTTGACCAATCGCTCTGAAATTTGTTGTGAATACCTATTCTTTATTCGATTCCAATCCATATGAACCTAATTCTGGGATAATATTGAAATTAAAAATATATTTTTTTTATGCAAAAAAGGTGAAAAAATATGACATTGTGTTCGAACGCCTCAAAAACATGCAATTTTCAATTTTTTTGATCACAATTAGGTTTATATTCTTAGAAATGTTTTGTTATCGAAAAAAAATTATGATAGTTACAGATAAAAATAGCAAAATACTCGGATGGCAATCGTCCATAGACCGCACGTTCTAACGCCACTATTTCCTAACGCCGAAATTACTTGAAAAAATTCTAGTGTACTTCAAAATATGAAAAAAAATTATAATTTTAGAAATTAGTAGCATTTAAGGAAAGATCCGTGCATCCGTGTGGTGACGAATCACCACCCCTATTCATCCCATGGGTGTCGAAAGAGCCGACTAAAGGAGCAAACTACGCAGGTCAACAGCAATGCAGAGAGAAGGAAAACTTGAAACAAACCCTATACCAACCCGTCTGGCCAACGGGGTGTAGTAAGCCAAAACCTCCTTTCTAAGGAGAGGCCTATGTCCAGCAGTGGACTAGTAAAGGCTGTTGATGATGATGAAGGAAAAATTGCATGCTGTTACTTGAATGCCTAAATGAGCTTGTACATTTTGTTTACTAACAGCCAACCACCGCTCTGTATCCTCATTTAAAGCAATTAAAGTATTTGTATTTAAGAAATGGACATCGTACCAGTACCAGCTTTAAATAGGAAAGTGATTTGATGGAAGCTGTCACTCCTAATTCACCCTAACTAATAGGTCTTTGAAATTGCCGTTTTGTATGCAATAAGTGAAAGTACTTATTTTTTCAAATTTTTTTATTTCTGTTATTCGAAGTAATCACCCATGCAATCGACGCATCTTTGCCAACGCATTGGCAGTTTATTGATGCCCTTCTTGTAAAAATCCGCTGGACGGGAGGCAACAAACTCTTCAAAGGCATTTTGTACTGCCTCTCGGGAATTGAATTTTTTACCCACTAAAAAGTTGTTTAAATTTTGGAAAAAGTAATAGTTGGTAGGTGCAAGGTCTGGTGAGTACCAAGCAACCATCTTTGGTCAATCGGTCGTCCCCACTGCTCCTTTACGACAACGCGCGACCCCATACTGCGCAACAGACAGTCTCCAAGCGGCAAGAGCTTTGGTTGGCAGCTCTCCCTCATCCGCCATACTCATATTATTTTATAAGGATTATATTTTAAACAAAATTAATACTTACGTTCTTTAATTAAAATTTTAATTAAAACCATTTTCTCTTCCATAGAATCAATAAGAAGTTACGTAGTAACTTTATTCTATTCTAACTAAGAAAAATAAATAATAATAAATGGGTGTGCATTTTATTTTGCCATATTATAAGTGCATGATGCACAAAGCGATCTCTCTCTCTCTAGTGAGGTGTGAGGTTCTTAGTTCAATACCCTACAACTATGTGTTTAATATAGCGCACATAACCATCTCTCATCTTATATATAACTAGCGGACCCGACAGACGTTGTCCTGTCAAATTTGACACTGCGATGGTAGCGCCGTCTGTCTGATCCAATGTAAAACATTCCAAAATCAACAACTACTAATTAATTAAAAAAACATTGTCCAGCGGACAAAATTGTGAATCTAAACCATTCCCAGATCCCCTCGAACGCAAACAAAAAATTTCATCAAAATCGGTCCAGTCGTTTAAGAGAAGTTCAGTGACATACACACTCACAGAAGAATTATATATATAAAGATTATATCTCTATAAATATATGTATAAAAATCGGCTTGTGTATGTTTGTTCGTATGAAAGATCCGTGGCGGCAACTATACGATGGTAGCCAGACTGCTCATTAACATACTTAAATATTTTGAAATACATACATATTATAAATAACCTACACTTAATGACAAAACTGCACTCTGTCTCGCTTCACTGCTTCGAATCCAACGAATGAGAACGCTTCGAAATGTAGGTACCTATTGCTCTTTTAGTGATTGAAAATATTAGACACTTAAAAAATGATCGTGTGCTTTTTACACAATTATTTGTCTTGGTGGGAATCGAACCTACGGCTTCCGACTTAGCAGTCAGGATCACGAACCAAGAGGTCCGCAAGGTATGGAGGTACACCTTGGATTAACACATGTCTACTTTTTATCCCGAATATCCTATCCTATCCACCCCTATCCACTCCCGTGGGTGTCGTAAGAGCCGACTAAGGGAGCGCGTGATTGTGTGTGTGTAACTGCGGGGAACCACTAGTATAAATATTTCATAGATGGAAGAATAAACTATGATATTTACCATTTTCAAATTCTCCCATGCCAGTTGAAACTGTTCAATCCCATCACCTTCGACAACAGGACTCGTGGCCGTGGGCTGGTCCTGTGCTGAACACATCTCCGGCGTCTCGTAAAACAGCCCTGTCCAAGTGTACCCACCCAAGGTCTTGTACATCAAGGTGAAGTACAGGCACATTATAATGGGACACACATACTGGAGAGCAACTACACACAGGTAGTAGAATACGGAAGCGATCTGGAAAAGAGATGAGTTAGATTAGTCTAGCATTTCTGACATTTTGATGTGCTTTGGTAAGTATAGACCAACTCATTTGGTGTTTAACACACATATACATACAACTTATCCGAAATTTATTTAATACTAGCTGGTACCCGCGAAAATCGCTGCCTTAGTGGCGTGCATGAGGCCTCAGTATCCGGGTCAGGCCTCGGGTACGGCCAAAATCTTATAGGGTTTTTCTGAGAGGAAAAATAGCCTAATTACTGCTTATATAGACAGCTACCTGGTAGTAAAATTTAAGCAAAATCGGTCCAGCCGTTTTAAAGATTACCCGGAACAAACAGACAGACAAAAAATAATTATAACTGGTTTTTAGGCATAGGTATCGTGCTAATAACCGTTGTGAGCAATAACCTATTATTTTGTCATTACAAAGAGACACTTCAATTTTATTTATTTGTATAGATTGTGTCAGTAAATTAGAGATATCTCTATCCCAATAATAGACACCAATGTTAGAAGATTTTAGAAGGAGTATTAAAACTATAACATTAAAACTCAGTATGAACTGATTATGTTCTGTCAAAACTGCTTATACAAAACTATTTATAAAAAAAGCACCACTACTGTGCGCTTTTCGAGACACTTTTTGCCCTGCACAGCCAATCTGTGGAACTGGTTATCGTCTGCGGTATTTCCTGACCGATACGACCTTCAAACCTTCAAGAAAAGAGCGTACTCCTTCCTAAAAGGCCGGCAACGCGTTTGTGACTCCTGAGTTGCAGACGTTCATGGGCGGCGATAGTCACTTTCCATCAGGTAACCCGTCTGCTCGTCTGCCCCCTCTAACATAAAAAAAATACTTTCTTTAAGTTATTTAAAGCAATTTTATGAAATCTAGATATTTTAACTTTCCATTGGGTTTTAGTGTCCCTAATTACCTTACCAAAAGGTCTACTAAGCCTGGATTTTTGTAGAGTTGAAGAACTAGAAGAGTCAAGCGGCTTCAACGTAAAGTAAACTATTCTACCTTACTTCCTTAAACTCCTTTTCTTCTTACCTTCTTCTGTAAGTCGATGTTTGTAATTCTACCAGCTTCCTTTTTCTGCACGTCTAGTCTCCGCTGTGCCATGTCAAGGTACGACTGGAGCTGTCTCGGCATAAGAGCTAGCCGGACTAGTATTGTCGCTGCCACCAGTATTATGCGTAGCGTGTCGTAAGCTTGAGATGTCATGCTGGAAGGTTGAGGGCAATTTTAGATTTTGAGATTATCCAGGGTGAAGGGAATCTTTATAATACTACGCTTGGTCACAGGGGTGGCGAGAAGGCTTAGGTTTTGTCACTTTGTCAATATCATATATGGTATGTGCTAAATTAATAAAGACAAATTATGAGCCATGTGGTGACGTGTCGTAAGACCTAAGGGAGCAAACTACGCAGGACAACAGCACTGCAAAGGGAAGGAAAACTTGACACAAACCCTACACCCACCCGTCTGGCCAGCGTGATAGGCCAAAACCTCCTTTCTAAGGAGAGGCTTATGTCCAGCAGTGGATTAAATATGATGATATACGCCAAATATTTTTTTAACTTTCTGAATTACTATGTGAAAGCCAAAGGGTCACATAATATGGGTATGTTCTAGAAAGGTGCCTAAGAAAAAATGTTCTATCAGATAAGTATTATTGTAAAAAAATGTATTTTATTAATTTTACTCAGTGAATTTACAATTTTTTTGGGTTCTCGTACTTTCACATCCCGAAGTCTTAGCTTAAATTACGATAGATGGCGTTGTTAATCTAATTGAAAGACAACATCCAGAAAGCACCATAATAATACTAAACAAGGCGATGTTTAACCTGCTTAAAATTCTAAAATTATTTTTATACGATCACAAGTAATTACAATCAGTATATTTATTTGACATATCGTGTGATGTATTTAGTATTATTTTTGGAATTTGGTCTCTAAAAAAAAAGTTCATTTCGAAACTTAATTATTAACTTTTAGTATCTCTGTTTGGTCACAGGAATTCAAATTTTATGGATCCAGTAGATTACGAGCAAATTGGCTGTGACATACAGTCAGACAGAATCACAAGTGATCCTATGAGATTTCTAGTTTTTTATTCAGACCTACTGCATCCAAAAAAAGGACACTTACAGTGGTTTGTCCATTCCGCTGAAAACTCTCACAGTGAGGTAGTGTCTGGTGATGGGCCGGACCCACAACAACACCAGGACGAATGGCATTGCGAAGTTTAAGTTCAGAAGCAATGATTTCACTTTATTGTCCCCATAGTACCTGGAAGTTTTAAGCGCTGTTATATATGTATATAATAATATCTCACACATATCACACACAGCTGTCTGATTTCAAACTAGGCAGAGCCTGTGCTATGGTAACCAGACTGCTGATAAACATACTTATATATTTTTAAATACATATATATACATAATACATATATATATTACAGATAAATTACACCCAGAACAAATGACCGTGCTCATCACACAATATTTGTCCTGGGTGGGAATTGAACCCACGACCTCCGGATTAGCAGTCAGGGTCACTAACCACACGAGACCAACAGGCTCGTCAATATAATGATAATTGTAGTACCACTTACTCTCAAGTGGTACTACAATATTATCATTATGTTGAAGTAATAATTACTCAAAAAGATATAACATTACTTTATTTATACATTTATATTCAAATTTGGCTATGAGAGAAAGAGAGAAAGAAAATCTGTGCTCGCACCTCTCTCTCTTGCCCCTACAGTAATATACGAAACGTAACTCTCTCTATTTCTATCTTCACTAACTTATATCTCCCTCTCAACTTCCGTTCACCTCGCCCGATCACACATTCGTAAGGCTCTTGTCACGCATTCACCAGCTTACTCCCCAAATCAAGCGTGCGTAAAGAAGTTTTACTTCAGTAAGTCTGGATCAGTTACTGGCTGACCCGCACAACTTCATCAAGAGGAATAAACTTTTCCCGTCTTTACAACATGTTTAATGGATGCTTGGCTCCTATTAACCGTAGCCTGATGTTATATAGTCTTTCTCTTAATTAAATGGGCTATCCAACACTAAAAGAATTTTACAATTCGAAACAGTAGTTCCTGAGATTAGTGCGGTCAACCAGACAAACTCTTTAGTTATATAATTTTAGTGTAGACCGGTATAGATGAAGCCAATAAAGATGTTTTTAATTGCTGTAAATTATACCAACCTTAGTGAGTCCCAATGCATCCTGGCCACTCTAAGACCAGGGAAAGTGAACAATGTTCCAATAATGGCAGCCCACACAGCAAAGAAGAACTTCAAAATCAATTTTGAAGCTGGCCCACTGAAAAAGTTTTTTTTTTTAAATGAATTTACGCAAAAGAAAAAACTAAGAAATAATTATCCCACATTAAAACTGCTCATTTTGAAAAAAATAGTGCCCCAGTTCCCAGACTGCCATCAGCCAGGACCTAATACGATTTTTTTAATTGTAATAACTAAAACCACAAGTTATTTAGGCTACCACAATTTGTAGCAAGCCAAAAGTTTCTGCCAAACTATGTAATCCAGAGTAGTTTCCATAAACAGACGGTAGGCCCTCTCTTTAGTGGTGTGTGATGAGTGAGTTCAAATCAACTTGATCGTCAAGATGACAAATTGATGTTAAAAAAACACTATGCGCTCAGAAAGATGCAACACTAATTGCAAACAGACATTTATCAGAAAAAAAAAGAAATCAAAGTTTTATAGTCAATTGCCCTATTATGTTACGATCTCCTCAGAGGGATTCTACATTTAAGTTAACTAAATATAAATGTCTTAAAATATTTTTAATACTTACACAGATGACAGTCCTTGGTTCTCGAGGAACTTTGATGCATTTTCATAAAAACTGTCATAAGCAGGGTCTACCCCCACTTCTAAATTGGACTCATCCACAATTAAGACCATCATGGCTATTAACAGGAACACACAGAAAGCAACAATGCATGTTGATCTCTCACCAATAGATTCTTCACTTGTGAAATACTGTTTAGTCAAACTTAATAGAATTTTACTGAGGTTTTATTAAGGACAATATTTTAAAAATGTCGAATTTATTCTTACCATGCTGAATATCAGTATACATTGGTGGAGAATATGTTGGACTTGGGCAACATTGTTGACAATTCAATAATCCCAATAGGACATGGAAAATCTGATTTTTCAACAATTCTGTACAGCACACACTTATTTCTCTTACATGCTACCTGGTTTTAAGTGCTTTTAACTTAAATTAGATCATACTATTCCAACTTTCAGATTTCAGATTTTTTCCCACAGATTTTCTATAGTTCATATATGCAACTAATAGTTCAAAACAACTAACTTTGCCTACTGTTGTGATCTTGCCTGCATCTCTCACTGAGACATAATTAACAGCCGTTTTGATCTTTGATATTACTAAATCAAAGAAGAAAAGCCCAAAATCGATCTAGGTGGGGTACAATGGGAGAGACCTATGTCCAGCAGTGGACTGCAATAGGCTGATGATGATAATTACCAAATGATGATTTATAATACAGGCCAAATGTTTGAATGTTATCAAAGGATACAATGTGAATAATACCACAAGCAGGCACCACACCATACTTAAGTTGAACTCATCCTTAAGTGGAAATACAGATGTGTACACCTGAAATTAAAAGAAAATTTCATACCACCATTGATGAATGTGCTTAATTTAATTCTATATTTTACTTGAAATGTCCAAGACAACACTATTTACACTAAACTGGGGGACAGAAGTATGATATGTGATAATTACCTCAGACATAATATACACAATCAAAGTGTATAGTGAAAAGTCCACAATCCACACATACTCGGTGTAAAATCTTAAATGTACAACATCTAATTGCGTTACGGGTGCTGTCTCCAGTTGTATATCCAAACTGCGAGGAATGTGGAAGGTTTCCGGCTTGCCATTCGACTCATGTTTTCCTCCTTTTTTACTTTTTGATGTATCCTTCGGCACTCCTCCCAAAGCCTTCAACTCGCTGTTAGTAGGGTACAAGTATCTATATAAACCCTGAGAACATAATAACCATCTTGCAAATGAGTAATTACCCACTTTCTGTATTACTGATACCATAATCAGTGTTATAACCAACTGAGCACCGAGAAGAGCCTGCAAAATATACAAAAGGCAATAAAGATTGAACCTATATATTCTGTATCTATCTTCACACGAATAAATTAAATTTACACACCATTATACCTCGATTTTCATTCACTTATTACGTCTATTCATAGTCTAAAATTAATAAATTATTTTAGTTACAAGCTAAATGTACTATAACCTCAATTCCTCCCACATACTATATTATACTGAGCAATTCAAAACACTACAGTAGTGTCACTAGAGAGAGATAAGGTATTTTACTCCTTTGAATGAGAAAAGAGGAAAGCGCTAATTTCTCTGTGTCATTACTGTCAAACTAAAATATTTATTTATTGGTCGTATTTCAAACGTTTATAAATATTGTTATACCTGTCAAAATGTTAAATGTTAATAAACAAACTTTAATAATTTATTGAGAAATATTAATATTTGTAACTATATTTATGGTAAATATCGAAATAAAGTATTTTTAAGAAAAACTATTTTCGAACTGAAACATGCTTGACAAATGCAAGTCTCCAAAATCAATAGCATGAAAGGGATAAAAGAGAATTGTCGGGGGTAAGAACTGAAAGTGATACCCGCGCATTCCACATTCCTATTTTTTGGGTAAAATAGTCAACACACGTAGACTAGATTGTATAGATACAATCTAATGCATGTGCAGTCTGCACTTGAGACTTTTGATAACATACGTTTCTACTTAATTCAGTTACTGTGGTGTCTGCTAGTGAGATAAAAGGGAGTAATCCTTAAGAAAGTCCTTCACTCACATTCGCCTTTATCTAAATTGTTATTGTAGATTAAAAAAACTGTCCATGTCATATGTTTCTCACTTAGAGCTCTAGGTCAAAAATTTATTAATCCTCAAGGCTTTCAGAGTTAGTGTGAAACCAAAATATTTTCTTCTTACGTTTGAAATATGTCAAAGTGGAATTATGTTAGATTATTAAACAAACTATTAAGTATTCATTCGATTTTTTTGGCAATAATTTAATCAATATTTTCCTCGAACTGATTTTGCAAAAAAGTCAGGAAAACATATTTTTCAACTGGTATCTCAAATCACAACCGTGCCGCGTTGCGCACTGGTGACTAATGTTCGCTGTGGGGAACTGGGGAGAGATATCATATCGATCGACCCGTCGGTTAATGTAATTTGGTTTTGTCGCCGCTATAGTCTGCTCGCAGACTAGCGACGGAGCTTTATTCTTAGTTATTATATTTGATTTTGTGTTGTGCTGAAAACCGTGCAAGATGGGGTCGTTGTTCCGGAGTGAGGAGATGACATTATGTCAACTTTTCCTCCAAAGTGAAGCTGCCTATGCCTGCGTGTCTGAACTCGGAGAATTAGGACTGGTGCAGTTCCGTGACGTGAGTAATTTTCAACCATGTGGCTGATGAAAAACGCCCCTTTTCCTATTAGTAATTAATGAGAATCCAGTTGGATGATAGTCCACCGTTTTTATTACCGTGATAGTAAACTTGTGACCTCAATCCTTTGATCATGTTTCTTACCATAAATTCGTGGTTTATTGACTACTATTACAGCTGTAATTATTTTCATATCAAGTATAATACTATTTCATTGTTAGCCTACTAATAATAATTAAAGAAAATCCGTATGAGTATATGTATTTGTTTTGCATGTAAAATGTGTGGGTAAAATATGAATATTTAATATGTATATATTTAATAACATATAAATATGTTTATCAGAAGTACCAAAGTAGGCTAAACTCTGCCTAGTTTGTGATCAGGTGGCTGTGTGTGAAACTAGTTATTCTAATGTTGTCATTGTGATGTAAGTTTTGAATTTGCTATTGTTTTAGTACCTCTACAAATAATGATGTCAAGTACCACCCCCACCCTTTTATTTATTTGCTCTTTAATTGTGTTGCTTAACTTCTAATGTAGATAAATCCACTGCACCTTATTTGCACCTTGCACCTTGCAATCTTAATTTGATGATTTAAAAGGTAGTATTTTATTAATATTCAAATTCGTTATGAAAGCCATCCATTGTTTAGAAAAATGAATGTTTAGATTGGTTTTACCTTCATTTGATATAATTGAATGCAATTCATTTTTTTTTTAAACTTAGTGTGGATTAACAGATCTTGATGTGTTAAAATTTGTGATAGCTAAGTTATTATATCAAAAAAATCATTTTATAATAAAAAATAACAAGCATTAGGTATTAAGCCCTGATAGCTCAGACAAATGTAGAATGTTCAGAGGTTAAGAAAGTCATATTTAGAAAATAAAAGGACAAGAAGAATATTAGTATTCATTGAAGATATAGAAATATGTTGTTGTTGTCCGTGTAGTGACCGATTAAGAATATGGAATGCCATTATCCCGATTCATCCCGTGGGTGTCGTAAGAGCCGACTAAGGGAGCAAACTACGCAGGACAACAGCACTGCAAAAAGAAGAAAAGCTACAAACCCTATACCAACCCGTCTGGCTAGCGTGGTATAGTAGGCCAAAACCTCCTTTCTAAGGAGAGGCCTATGTCCAGCAGTGGACTATTAAAGGCTGTTGATGTGATGTGTTAATAGGCTGTTAATAACATTTGTTATTGACTTTAAATTGAACAAATACTTATTAGGTGTGCAGTAGTATATGTAAATATGGTATCTAAGGTCAGTATTTGATATGTACAAATAGCCTCAATAAATAATTATAATGCCAGTTATTGTTAACAATTGTTTTATGTTGATTGTGGGCAATATAACTCGGCGTAGCATTATATATTGTCTATGCTATGACAGGTCATATACTAAATGAACATATTTGATGCATCCATACAGTAAATGATCTACAACAACATGGTAGGTAGGAATTTACATTCTTTTTAATTTTAGTATGTTTTTGTACAGTCCTTTATATTCACTCCCTTCTATGGGTGAAACCGATGGTCCGTAACCAGTTGAGGAGGAGGAAAAAATACCTGACATATACATATACATATGAAAATAAATGACAAAGTATGCATATTATTTTCTCATTCCAGAGTAAACTTAACCGCTATTATCATGTTAAATTAAAATTATAATGAAAAAGGGCAAATTATTTCCAAGCTGGTCCACTATAAATTTGTTATTTTTTAACTTAATTATTGATTATTATAATAGATAATTATTTTTCAAGGTCCAGTAATATGGAACAATATTTGCTCCCCTGCATCTATACGTTTTAGTTTCGTATAAAGAAACAAAACATCTTTTTTTAAAACTGGTTTTGCACAAAGATCACGTTTTCCTCCTTTATTGGTTACGAACCATCAGTTTCGATGGCGGCCGAATGGGCACTTTTTCTATATTTAAATAGAAATATAATATAGAAACATTCTTTAAATGTGTACAACATAATATTCTCTTCTATTTTGAAAGATACCCCTTAAATATTCTTATTTCATACATAGTATCATCATTAGTATATAATTATATTAAAACAGATTTTACAAAGTGTTACATAAATTGAGAACTACCAACATAAAATTTAAGAATGATTAAAAATAATTCAATCACATGATTGATAAAAAAAATGTGACTTATATTAGTTGATGATTAATTAATCTGATTGAGAAAACACAAATGTTGATAAAAAAAACTTATGCCAGTTTAGTGATATCTAAACATTAAATGATTAATGGGTATCACTAAAATAAAATAAAGTGATTAATGATAATCACTTTATCATTATAGATTTGTTACCATCCACATGTAATGGGTCCAGTAGGACAAAATTTAACACTGATTCGTGTTACTTTAAGAATCTGTTTAAAACTAAATGTTTGTCTAAATTCCTTCTAAAAGGGTGTCTACATCATTGTAATGAATTGTATAATTCATTCATTAATTCTGCCCTTAGGGGTGGTTTTATTTGTTGACATTTAAATGGGTCCAAACAGGAAATATATATATATACCCACCAAACAATTTAAAAACAAATTGAAAAATAATTTGACACTTCTCACACAGAGAGCAGACGCAGAGCCTGTGCAAGGGAACCAGACTGCTGATAAACATAGATACTTATATGTTTCTAAATACATACATATTATAGATAAATTACACCCAGACACATAACAAATGATTCACACAATTATTTGTCCTGGGTGGGAATTGAACCCACAACCTCCGGCTTGTCAGTCAGGGTCGCTAACTGCTGGACCAACAGGCTAGTTAATTAAAGACAAAAAATTGATACTTAACTAAATTGAGTACCTCCATCTTTTTAGTCAGTTAAAAAAAATTGTTGGTTTATGCCCTTGTTATAACATGGATTATTTAAACTAAAAATGCTTAAAGTACAAGAAGTCTATGATTTTCCCTGGACAATACAAATAGCATAGAGAATAGAGCTCTTGGAAAAAAATTGAAAAAGAAGTTTGCAGCATAGACTAGGAAGCAAATGTCCATAGGCTTTAGTGACCGCCTTATATCTGCCAAATTGTATGATATCTACTACTTAAAGACGAGTTTATCTGTATGCTCAAATAAGTGAGTCGGCTTTGGGTGCATGAATGACTACCACTACTCTACGCACAGATTACTATAAGAAATGATTTTTTTTGCATTTCTGTTAATGTAAGGAAATACTTAGAGTTTGTCAGCCTTAAAGTATTGTTCTTGTATTTTGAAACAAAGTGATGTTATTGTATTACCACCATTATAGTTAATAGTGCTCCTATTAGACTGTTTTGAAACTAATGTTTTGTTTGCCAAAAGTGGCTTTAATCTGTTTTGTATGCAAAATAAACGCTCCCAACTCATTTTGAATGTGCACTGACATTGAAACGATCTCAGCAAGTACAGTAATTGATTACTTTGTTGGTTTAGTAGCATATAAGAGACGCTAGTTCTGGGCGACATTTACGTCCTACGAAATTTACTTCAGCGCCATCTTGCAGAGTAAAATCGAACTATGCAGTAGTATTGATCCTACATGTCGCAATCAAAGTTCTCGAGTCAATAAAAACTTCCACAACCACGCCTAGACGGGGGATTTTCCCTGTGAATCAGAGAGATACGCATTCGTTCTTCCACAATTCAATTTAATTAGCGGGTCTTTAATTTAACGATATTAAAAACACAACAAAATTCTAGGCTAATTCTAAACTAGATATAGACTAATAAATACGGTAGCAACTGTAATATATTTAATCAAAATGATCAACGAAATCAACAAACTTACTATGACGCCTATGAATCAAAATTAAACATTGGCAGTGAGTTTCTCTTTCAATTCATTCTGCACACATATCACAGGTTTGTTACGTACTATCAATACTCCGGCAGACTTCCGCACGTGGATATGCCTCTAACCTTTCTTAAAAGTGAATGGTTAATATTTGAAGTCTATCTATAATTAATTATTATGTTTGTATAATATATATAATTATGTAATAAATGATCAGCTTACGATAGCAACTCCGCGAGTAAAATACAAAAAATGTCTGCAAAAATTTCTCTCCTAAGAATTTAAGTTACCTCAGAGATTAACATCGTTAGATGATCATTATCTAAATACAACATCTTAATACAACGAACTAAAATTCTATCCCCATTCACTTCAATATGTTAGAGGGGGCAGACGAGCAGACGGGTCATCTGATGGGAAGTGACCATCGCGGCCCATGAACGTCTGCAACTCAGGAGTCAAAAACGCGTTGTCGGCCTTTAAGGAAAAAGTACTCTCTTTTTTTGAAGGTTTGAAGGTCGTATCGGTCCGGAAATACCGCAGACGATAAGCCGTTCCACAGATTGGTTGTACGGGGAAAAAAGTATCTCGAAAAGCGCACAGTAGTGGAGCGCCAACTATCCAGGGGATGAGGGTGAACATCTTGCCGTGTGGAACGATGGTGGAAAGTTGCGGCTGGTAAAGCTTCGTAACTTTCTCTTTTTCGTCTTGAAAAATTATCGTCTGTAGTATGTCTGGACCGATATAATCTTCAACTCTCAATGAAGAAAGTGTACTCGCACGTCAAAAGCCTTGTGATTCTTCAGTTGCTAGCATGTCTGGGCAACGGTTGTTACTTAGAATCTATAATCGAACGACACATCTGCTCGTTTGCGGCCCACGAACATTGCCAAACATGGCCGAATACACTACCCGTTCGCAATAGAAGAGTTCGGTTTCCATCAAAATTCTACTGTTTTATGACAAATACAACGATCTTTAAACAAAACTAAGTAATATATTATCCCGCCTCTGCACTGATGTATATGGAGAGACTACTTTTGAACAAAGAGTATGAATCAACAATCAAAATCATATACCAGTCAAATGTATCCAATCAAAGTGTCATTGACTAAAGTGATATACTAGAAAACAATCAATAACTTGAAGTATTAACCAACAAATTGACTCGTAAATCAATTTGTTCATCCGATTGCTGCCACTCTCGCAACAGCGAATAGAAAATCTGGAATACTTGAGTTTTGGAAAACTACAGAAAGCAAAACTTTTGAAATAATCTGTTACAAATGTAAACATTACGTGGTAACTGCTATAAAGCTACTCTTGTCCAGTAAAAATGTTGACCTGTCCTGAACGTAAAGTCCACACTATAAAAGTTCAAGTGGTTTTGGCCGATGACAAACTCTAAATTAAAATAATTCTGATTCAAAACAAAAATCTTCAATTTTAATAACTTCTTCATACGGCCTGCGTTATGAGAAGCTATTACTTGGCAACAAAATTTCGTAACTCTTGTACAGTCATATGTACTTTATAAACGAATTCCCGCATAAAGCTGACCAAATTGACTAGCAGAAATTTAAAAAACACAACGCTTGCCTTTTTCAACCTTGGCTATCAAATGGAAAAATATTTAAATATCACTCAATCAGAGGGTCAAGTGCGAGGTAATTTCATATATACTCTCTCTCGTTAAGATTTCAGTGCGGGCCAATCGCAGCGCCGAACGCGCTCACCGTGACGATCGAGTATATGTGAAATCAACTCGCACTAGCGGTTAGTGATCCTTACTGCCAAGCCAGTGTTCGTGGGTTCGATTCCCACCCAGAACAAATATTGCGTGATGAGCACGATCATTTGTTCTGTGTCTGGGTGTAATTTATCTATAAAATGTATGTATGTCAGCAGTCGGATCACTATCCTGTACTATTACAGGGTCTGCCTAGTTTGGCATCAGACGGCCGTGTATGAGATGTGTGAAGTTATTATTATTATTAACCATTTCAGCAAAGTAATTTACTTATAGATTATTTGAGTATAAATAACTTCTAACGTTGAACCATTTCTTCAAACAGTTAAATCCAGACGTTAACGCATTTCAAAGAAAATTCGTCAATGAAGTCCGCCGCTGTGATGAGATGGAGCGAAAGCTCCGCTACCTTGAGAAAGAGATCCGTCGAGATGGGATCCCCATGCTCGAGATTCCCGGCGAATGCCCGGAAGCACCACAGCCTAGGGAGATGATTGATCTTGAGGTAAGAATCTACACCTAATTGACAATTTGAAGTTCTAGATTTTTAATTTGATTATCGATTTACCTTAATAGGTTCGAAAGTGCTCTGTAAGGAGATCTAATCTAGGAATAACAGTATCATTTGGAACGTGTTGCGCAGAAATGATCTAATTCATAAAGGGCTCAAAATTTGTAAATTTAATCGTCTCTGAACCCAGTTCATTTGTTTTCTATTAATAAATCTAGTAGCTGAACCGGGTAGTTGATACAGCTCTCCACCAAGCTGGGACTTTCTTTTTTATATATTTTGCAATATTTGAATAAACGACTATAACAGGAGATTGTCATTTAATTGTTTTCCTATAGGCTACATTCGAAAAGCTGGAGAACGAACTCCGCGAAGTAAACCAAAACGCCGAAGCTCTAAAGAGAAATTATCTTGAGCTCACCGAACTCAAGCATATACTAAGAAAAACTCAAGTTTTCTTTGACGAGGTAAGTTTTTTGTTAACCTTTATGTTAGAACTCACGAAACTACATTCTCAAACCAATAATGTTGACTTCGAATTCAGACGTTATAGACACGTACCAACCTGCTGACGTAATGAGATCTTGCCATGTCCTAGAAATCACAATTATAAATTATATGACAACCCAATGCAAGGCATTATTTTATGTAATTTTAGTAAGTCAATAAAATAAAGATGTTTTACTTGATGTCATCATCTTTTACACGGTGTTCAGTGTAATTAGGTCCAAGTATCTGAAGGAAATCTTGTCAATAGATTTGACTTTAATCGATTGGACAGAGTTGAGCCCCATAAAAAGTAAATGGCGTGGGTAAGAAGCTGATTGAAAACTGTTGTAGAAAAAAAACTAGCTCCACGATCAAAAATTCAATAATCTTTATTTATTCATCGTATTATTTACTAGCTGACCCGCGCAACTTCGTCTGCGTCTCTCAATAGTGATAAATTTTCTCCGTTTTTGAAACATTCTTCATTGGTGCTCCGCTCCTATTGGTCTTAGCGTGATGATATATAGCCTATAGCCTTAATCGATAAATGGGCTATCTAACACTGAAAGAATTTTTCAAATCGGACCAGTAGTTCCTGAGATTAGCGCGTTCAAACAAACAAACAAACAAACAAACAAACAAACTCTTCAGCTTTATAATATTAGTATAGATTAATTTTTCCTTTATTTTCGAGCAATGTTTCATTCAGTATTATTTATTTCTATATACAGCACAATAATAGCAGTATCAAATACTAATTTTATGTTCAACACTTTCCAATTCTCTGAACAATGTTAACATTTTCTCTCAACAAAGGTCGTGGGTTCTAAGTTTTTTTATTTATTATCTAGTTATTTTATAGCTATATAACAACGTAGGCTTCAAAAGAATTGTTAATAGATTTTTAACGCTTAAACTCGGTAATATTGTTTAAAATAATGACGCCGTGTTGTCAATGTCACATTTTTGTACGTCCATTGTGTTTAGTTGATTGATCGCACGCATACATTATGCTGTCTGCGCTGAATATGCTCAGTACACGACACATGAATGATTTCTGATCTTAAAATCCAATTTGTAACGTGGCACTATCACTGTAATATGTAATTTCATGGCCGCTAATCTTTCACGGTCGTACTAAATTGTGACATTGAATTCGGCGCATGTCTGACCTTGATGCCATGCGTCGTCTTTGTGCACAAGATGGCGGACCCGTCGCGCGAGGAGGAACAGGTGACCCTACTTGGGGAGGAGGGACTCATGGCGGGCGGGCAAGCTCTGAAGCTTGGGTATGCTCAGATTGATTATGACGCGCTCGTTAAACCGTTTTGATTTCCATTTAGGTAAATGGAAATGAAAGCAAAAACATGAGCGTTATTACTTTTTACAGCGCTTGTACTGTGACGCTGATTCTGGAGTCTACCGATCACCACTCAGGCAAGCATTGGAGTCGGCCGGTTTATAGTATATCATCAACATAACACCTCTCTTTGACTCTTTTGTGTGATGGAATGATAGCTTAGTTGTAGTACTGCCACATGTGGCCCAACCCGATACAGTCCTAATACAGCTTCGTGAATTAGACTGAGTCCCTTACCGAGCGTGCTAACCAATTGCTGCCTGAGTGAGATTTTTAATTTTTATTTTGAACTAACAATGTTTCCGACATGATTTATTTTTGAAGTCCATCTGAACATTTTCAGCTCTAGGAGTCGATGCGGTTTACATAATGGTTTAGTTACTTTGTCATTAAGTCATCCACGCTTTGTGTACTTGTCATTTTTATGCATGCCGTTATGTTTTTATATGTTCATGTTATGTGTAGATCACGACAATACAAAAGCAAATAGAGAATATATTTTTTAGACTATTTAATAAACGACACTGTATTTGTACACAATACGAAGTAGACACAAACTAACAATGCATTCAAGCTTTATAGAATTTGTTTGTAGCTACTTTTGAGCACAAGCGCGTAGTCTGAGGTGATTTGCAGTAAGACAGTGGCGCTATTTTTTTTACTACAACAGGCAAGGGGCTAGTGTCGTCTGGTGTATATGTCGTACCCTTGTGTATCGTCCTTGTGCCGTCATATGGGCATGTTTGTCTACATGTTTATGTTTTTCCTCCGTGTAGCAAGAGGGTGGTGCCAATACCACTGAGTCGATGACGCGCGCCCTCATATCCGACGACCCGAACAGACATATCGGCCACGTCCAACTAGGGTATGTATGCGTGTGTACATACGCACTGGAGTGACAGTCACTACCACTCGGTACGTCACAGCAGCTCAATTGTTTATTGCCAACAGTTCAGCTGATATTATCACTAGTTCAATTGGTTGATCGTCTTGTATGTTTAGCTTGTCATCATTATATGTTCAACGTTTATTAAATTGCTTGCGTATACAATATTTGACGCGTTTGGTATAATAACGTCAGCGATTAATGAAGTACAGCGGTGTAATGAACATAAGACGATGCAATCAATCACTTTGTTTACATAAGCCAGACAGTTTTATTATTTGATGAACAATCTTGTTTATATTTACGTTGTCAACAAACTGGTACCAAACTGCTGCGAGCGTCAAATATGGCTTATGTGAACATTATCAACGAACTGATTTTGCACAATGGTACACCAAAATGCCTCCTAAAGTATTTGTAATTGCAATTTTTTTAAATTCAAGCAAGAAATAACTTAAGATAGCAATCACAATTAAAATTGCATGTAACCTTTTTAGTGTGGTAAATAAAATTATTCGAAAAATAAAAGATAAATCTTCTGAACCAATTTAGAAACAAAATCCGAATGAAGTCTTAGAATAGTATAAGGTGTACAGTATGGCTAAACATTTGTGCTTGATTTATTCCCTAGTTTGCGGGATAAACAAGAGTCCCTGGAATTCCTGCCTTGGTTAGTAGTGTGTATATTGTATATTATAATGTAGACGGTAGTGGTTGGGTATCTGTGTAAGTGTATGGCTGACGGCGGAATGGTAACTTGGATCACCGACAACATTGAAATTAACTCGACTCTTTTCAATCTTGTCTTTACTACTTGGTGTTAAATGAACATTCTGTTCAATTTTAACACTTTCACATGCTTACTAACATCCACTTTAATATCACAGTATTGTATACTCAAACAAACGTTCAACTTCATGTGCGTTATCAAGGTTACTTGGACTTCAAGAATAGATAATGGAAGTAGGTGCGAAACATGTAAATGCTGAACGCGGTATTTCGTCATCAGACTTTTCCTATTTCTTATAAATATATATGAATAATTTCTAAATTCTTTTTTTTTTTAATTCGCGCCTTGTTTGACACCATTTAAAATTGTATAAGATTGAATATAAATAGGAAAAGTAATGATAACGAAAATATTTCCCAATTCAGAGAATCCTAACAGCGTCTTGGTACGAGTGTCTTAGAATATTAATTATATGTTTTGTGTTATGTAAAAAGATTACTTTCAGACTCGTGTTATTCAAATGAAACCAGTGTAGGTTTAATTGGCGCTTGCTACAGTTACGGATTGAAGCTTTATTAACTGTAAATTTGTAACTAATGCAGTACTCCAATATGTGTATCTTATAACGTCACAGTACGTTCTAATTGAGGTATAGCAACACCCGCTTATCTAGAAATATACCAATATCCAATTAAAATTGTTTTACGTTCAATCTTACGTTGGCTTCGTATGGTTTATATCAAAATGATACACATTTTGATATAAACCTGGCACCAATCATTTGTAATAAAAACATTCGATTCCATATCAACCTTGAATCATTCGTGTAGTTGTGATAAATTTGCCGAGCCTTTTTCAATATACATTGTGTTATACAATACTTGTTGTCTATGACACAATATGGATCTATTAGGTGTCAATTACGTATTTGAGGTTATTTGGAATGACTTCGGTAAAGACTATTATAAAAGAGTCGGACATTATTCTTACTGGAATTTCAATTAATATTAACTTCCATGGCCCGTATTCTGTTCATTTGCAATCTCTGTCAATTTATTAGTTGTTTGTTTTACGACACAAGGCGTCATCAAAGACGTTTCAATTTTTTAACCACTGGCATTGACACCTTAGAAGTTAATCAAGTCAGCCACATTATATTTGCCAAGCAAAATGCTTTTATTACGAATTTTTGCCTCACCAATTGTCACCTGCGGTATTTTTGGACCGATATCGTGTCGGTCAAGTCTTCAAGAAAAAAGCATTCATGGTACCGAAGTAGCCCACTACACTCGTGACTCTTGAACCACAGGTGTCCGTGGGCTCTGGGAATCTCAATAAGGTGAAAAAATCCTCTTTATTTTTTTGTGTCATTTCCTAATCCATCCAAAAATTTCAAGAATTTTCAAAAAACATTTACTGTTCAAAATATCTTACCAACTGTTACTTTGTTATTGTTTTGCAAACATTTTTAAGAAGCAGCAAAGATACAGATGAAAATAATAACAATACTTTTACATATCGACGTTTCGAGACACTGATAAGATTATATCTATCCGAGGAACACGTTGCTATCTTACAGATTGTAATCTCGAGCGAATCTCAGCTTTCAAATAATCTTATTTCAGCTTTCAAATAATCATATATGCCTGAGAATCTCGGGGTTTATATTTGCTGTCTTAGCGTAGCTTTTTTTCCTTTAGAATAAAAATAATTACATAATATACTATTACATACTATATATACTCATCATTCAAGTACCTATATTTCATAAGAATCAGAGAGTGAAAAATTCTGGCATTGTGCCTGCTGAGTATCATACAACAATTTTGGTGACTGAAGGATTGACAGAATGAGTTCAGAAGCCATGAAGGGATTAAGAATTCAAGCACTGCCTTAATATCCTCACAATTAAGGAAGTAATGGGTAGATTACATATTATTTACTTTTACTAAAGACCTACAGTTGTATTCACGTATCTATTTTAAGGAAGGCCGAATGTTTTGTAGAATTTTACACAAACTTGTTGGAGTGTTATGATAGTTGTGATTTTAGTTGTTTTAAGATTACGACTCACTGAAATATTAATTACTAAAGGAAGAAAAAAAAGGAGAAAAAGGCTTCTTATAGTTCTCTGCAGCTCTGTTCGCTCTTGTGATATAAATATACTATATGTATTTATAAACAAAATTACCGTTACATACTGTCGCGAACATCGACCTACGCCAACTCGTGACTTACTTATTACCGGTGATGTGAAAAATATTTATGAATGGCAAGTTCACGGTTAAAGAGACGAGAATCTGGTTCACGATGTTTAGAAAGTCATCGAGTGACGTCTGGTTCGATAATCTTGATATGTCGTCCCTGGTTTGATGAGAACCAGTTTTGAGTACAACTGTAAGTACTTCATTGATTTATATCTTTGATGAAATTTCCAAACGAGTTTCTTTTATTTGAATATCGAAGAGGAACTGGGTTATTGTGCGGAACTTGGTATGCTCCCTATTTTGTTTTAAATTAAGATATTGACGGTAGTGATATCTGGATTAAATGACACTACGTGTATGTTACTGTGGAACAGAGATAGACAACTACATACCTAATCGCTTTCTGATTTGTTAATACAGACAGAAGTGAGTTACACCTACATAGATGACTGGTGTTACAATTGGTACTGTCAGTAAACTATTTACTCCAGTTCCAGTCACTACTAACAATTAACAACTAATCAACGAAGATTCTTCTCGTAGCGGAGTATTCCTTTCCATTGTTAGATTTTTCGTAATTTTACGATAGCTTCTGAAGATACAAGATTTTTCAGATTGTCTTTTTTTCTTATTAGCACTATGTTTATTAATTCGTTTTACTTTTAAGGCCTTTTTAACTTTTCTTTTCCTAGGGAATCAGTCCTTTTTTGATGATCAGGTAGACTTACATTAATTTTGTATGCCTTATCTCTTGCGATGATGTTGTAAGGTCATTATAACTGTGGCTATAGCCCTATGTAATTTCTATTTCACGTAATATTTGTAAATACAAATATATAACACCGCCAAGTGTTATCTTATCATTTGAAGATTTAGGAATAAAACTAGGTCAACTTGAAGCGTTGGTATGTTGGCTGTTACATGCCAATCAAATGGACGTGGTTACATCTCTTTACAAATAGTTGTAATAATTCTTACTTCCTCTCCGTAATTTTTATCACTAAACAAATACAGCGTTGGTGATAATTTCGATAGGTTGGCGAATAGTTATTAAACTATTTTATAGTTTTGTAAGATTCTGAAAAGAAAACCTTTATTAACTTACA